AAAACTAGAACAATTTATTTTTTATTTTTGCAATATTAAATATTCGACTGAAAAATGTGAAAATAACAATTAAGGTTTTTGGAATAGTTTATTAGTGAACAGGTTTTATTTTTTATAGTTTTTTGCAATTTTTGATAGTTTTTTTTTATTGGCAAATGTGCCAGCCCGGCTTTAATTTAGAAAAAGATATTAACTCAAATTGTGCAGAAATATCAATACAAAGAGACCCATTAATATTTAATCCAAAGTTTAATTTTAATTTGATAAATTGGAATTGGCTTCGCTTTTTTGTAGAAATGAGCTTATTTAAGCACTCTGTGAAAAACAAACTGCTTTTTTAAATAAAAACAATTTGTTGCGATTTAGCATGTAATTCTTCATCAATTTGTAATTATGGAAGATAAAGACCAGTACAAAATGCTGCTTAGTAACCCATATCCATTCGGTATTGATGATGTTGGCGTCGACGTCTAAATAAACGAAGGGCGCCGTCTGGATTACTTTGCAATAATGACCACTTTTGGATATTATTTAGGGAAAAGCTTTTATGCACTTTTACCGATTGGGAAACTAATATCTCTGTCACCAATGATTATTAGCATCAGTTAACATTTTTTTGTATACGCTCCCGAAAATGAGTCTTTTCCGGATTCAATAAAATAGTACGTAAAATGGTTGTTATTTTAGGTACTCAGTAACCAATATACAGTTTTTCTGGACGAAAAAGTCAATTTGGCTTCTATGGTAGCGAAAGTTTAATTAATAAGATGTGTGAATTCGTTTTTTGGGAGCTTTAACAAAAAAAAATGTTGTTTGTAACACACATACTTAAAAGGTTTGCGGATATATCTGCTATTCCAGACTCGGCTTTGCCTCGTCCGGAAACAACAGCGATTTGTATGCAAAAACTGTAGGTAACAAAGATAACTATATTTACATTTTGTGTCATGTCGTTGACAATTTTTTTAGTTTTCAGTTCAGTTTTTCAGTGATTTTCATATCATTCTGTCTACAGTAATAAATAATTTGATACGTATACCATACCTATTTCCGTATCTATTTACCCAATAAAATTTTTGTTCTGTCTAAAAAAACATAATAACATAATGTCAATTCTTTGTAGTATGTATACAGGGTGTGTTAGAACTCGCGCCTCAGAGAAAAATTTCAAGTCAGATAAGATACCAGAAACATGGGAAAAAAGTTCTGTCTGTCAAAAAATTTTGACATTTATTTTTTGACATTTGACATTTTTTATGGCTATTTAATGATACTGATAATTTATATATATTTCTTTATAATTATCTAGTAATATTGCTAATAAAAGCCACAAATAACATTAGATTTACAATTTAGGATACAGCGTCCTTGTTTTCTCTTCTAATAGCCTGTAGCAAAAAAACAGAAATAAATAGCGTCAAAGTGCAAAATTTCAACTCTCATAAGTTCGAATTTTTTATAGTTATTTTTTTAAAACATATTTTCTATGTTCCTGGTGTCTGGGGCGCGAGTTTTGGCGCATCCTGTATAAAAACAGTTACATTTGACAGTGAAAATAAATAATTACGTACCGAGACGACATAAAAATGAGTGATTTTTTATTAATAAATTTAGGTTAATATATGTATTTATACCTAGTCACGGTTGTATCATTTTTGATTAATATCTGAAAGGTGTAATTAATTATAATTATGTATATTAATGTTGGGAGCTCATTGATATACACCTTTGAATGAATGTGTAGCGTAGGAGTGAGTGAAAGAGCAGAACAATCATGCTTCTATGCTTGCTTTAAATGTCATACTTGATGCATAACTGCATAAATGTGGGTATTCACACCTACACATTATTGGAGGTTTTGGGTTGATTTAATAAAAGCTTATTTAAAGAAAACAATATGTTTAAACCTTTAATAACAAAGTGGCAATCACTGTGTATATAATTTAAGCTCATACCCTGCGCATCCACCATTTTTGTCGTATGGGTCGTAGTCGTATGCAAATAAATGAACTACACAGTGAGTTATTACGAAATAGAATGAAAAACCTATAATTTTAATATTATTTGCTAGTGAGTATTTTTGACGTCGCATTTAAAACTCACCCTGTATACGTTCTAACATCATCAATTTAATTAACACTGCGACAAACATTTATGTAAATTATTTTAAAATTTCAATAAAACATTAAAAAAAAATCAAATTGTGTTTAAATTAATTTCAACAACAAAATTCTTAAAAACATATATTAGATTTAATAATAATTTAATTATATATGTATTACTATTATTCGTTCAATAATTTTCTGATCAAAGTAGCTTGTGACACATTGAAAAACATAGAAACAGGAGAAAAAATGACATCAGCGTTAATCCTTGTTGCCAACTTAATTTTAATAATAGTTTACTTTGATCAGATATTTAAAGTTTTAAACATGTGCTAAATCGAGTCTTAGTTAAATTTTTTGAGCTTACTAAACAAAAAATGTAGATAAATATAGCCAGTATACCAGACAGTTTTCCCTACTTTCCCCCTTTTGTCTTTTTATGCTCTTCTCTTTGAAGTTTGAAGTGTAACAGAGCGTTGATCTTATCTAAGGGTATTTTAGCATGCGGTTGTCATTAATTTTAGCGAAGGTCAGTAACAAAAAACTGATACTGAATTTACTCAATAAAGAGATGATTTAGTCGAAACTTTGGTAGTTTGTCACAACAATGTGGGAAGCTGATTTGGTTTTATATATTTTTTTGGTAGAATTAAAAAAAAATTATGAAACTTTTAAACAAATCTGATTAGTGAATTTTATAAATTTTATTGTTAAATGCATCCACGGCATTGACTTTTAACGAAAATTAATTACTGGCTTTGATGTTTCGAGTTTTAATCAGCTTTTATTAGCGTCAGCAACTAATATAATAATAACAATAAAAATAACATTTTATATAATAAATGAAAATAATATAAAATAAAATATGTAATATGAAATGCCGGTTTCCACTTTCATAGACTTTATGCGTATTCAGAAAGGTTATTAAAATATTTCTAAAATATTTTCACATGTTTTTTGTGTTGTTTTTAAAATATTATTAATATCAATTAAAATTATGTTGTTTTAGATTTCACATTCAAAAAACAAACAAAACAACAAATAAGTTTGTTAAAAATAACACGTGGGTCGCGAAAGGATACAAAATCTATTTAAAAAGCTGTGAACTGAAAATTGCATAATTAGTTTACCAACGTACAACCTTTTACTTTTATCTAAATAATAAGTAATAAACATGTTAGAACAATTCAAATTAGATGTATGTTAGCTAAAAATAGATATTAAAAAACAAGTATTACAAACACTGTCATTGTAATACGAGTAGTTTGTGACACGAGCCAAGCAATGGCGATATCACAATGCACGCGTTTTTTACACAATTTTTTCTATTGAGCGTTTTTTAAATTAATTTTTTATTTGACATTTGATGTATGTGAGAACAAGTGCCTAAAATAAGTTTTTAGCAGATGAGTCCGTAAAAACGTTTTAGGTACGTGTTACAAACAACATTTTTTTGCTAAAGCTCCCAAAAAACAAATTTACACCTTTTATTAAAATTAAAATAAAAAATTCGCCACCATATTAACCAAATTAATTTTTTCGTCCGGAAAACCTGTTTTTTTTGGGGACTGAGTATTAAAATAACATTGAGTCCGGAGAGACTCAAATGACAGCTATTTTCGGGAGCGTATACAAAAATAGCTATTTATGCAACAAGTTGCAAAATGAGCGTGTTTTTCAATAAACGTGAAGACCGTTTTGCATCGTGTTTTATACAAGATTTTTTTTTAATTTGGTTCTGAAAATCATAGGCATCAAATTCGAATTTTAAATCTGTGATTCCAATAATTTTACAAAATCTAAATAATGTCGAGGCGTTGGTATGAAAATAGTGTTAGTGATAAATAAGGCTCGGATTATATATATGCACGAAAAATACGTAAAATATACGCATGTATTTTCACAAAAGTATGCTCGAATATATGCCAAATATGCATCGATATGCAAAACTAAAATTCATTTGCAGGCAACTACATTATCCACATAGAAGGATTTATTCGTTTCATACCAGGTGAATAAAAATAAATAAATAAATAAATAAATAAATAAATAAAT